AGAAGAGTGCTTGTGAGGGATTTATTTATTTATTTATTTGTACCAGGGATTGAACTCAGGACGTTGTGCTTGTGAGGCAGGCATAGTGTTACTGAGCTAAATCTCTGACCCTCTTGACAGATTTGTATTTATTTATTTTTTTGTACCAGGAATTGAATTTAGTACCTTATGGGCCAGGGATTTAGCTCAGCAGTTTGGTGGCCTGCCTTGCAAGCGCAAGGACCCGAATTTAATCCCCAGTACCAAAAAAAAAAAAAAAGAAGAAGAATTTAGGACCTTGTGCTAGCCAGGTGGGAACAGCACCACTGAACTAATCCCCAGCTTTCTTAAGGGATTTGCAGGAAGATGGTAACAGTAGGTTATGTAAGTACTTATCTTGTGGTATTGTGGACCATGGACTGGAATTAGACAGAAATGTCATAAAACTAGTAGTTCTAGGTGACACATTTTGAGAGCCTGAAGTAAAACAAATGGTTGTGGTGTTGGAAAGGAAATGACGCTATGAAAACACCTGTTGGCAGATTAGATCTAGGCTATGAGGGAGAGAAGAGTTTAGTATATAATCTCTTAGTTTCTGACTAATATTACTTAGTAGGTACTGAACTAAAGAATGCAGGAAGTTTGGTTTGGGCTATATGGAGTTTAAGATGCTTTAAATTTAAGACATTGATTACAGGTGTCCATAATACTGTTGGATACACAGGAAAGTCAGGCAACAAATGTTTATAAATTGCAAAATATGCTCCAAATGCAGTTTTGTTTTTTTGTGTTTTTTTTTTTTTTTCCTGGTACTGGGGATCGAACTCAAGACTTTGGACTTGCCAGGCATGCGCAGTGCCGCTGAACTATATCCTGGGGCCTCCAAACACTTTTGTTTTGTTTTGTTTTTGGTACTGGGGATTGAACTCGGGACCTTGCACTTGCGAGGCAAGCATGGCGCCACTGAGCTAAATCCCTGGCCCAAACACTGTTTTAGTAGTGTTAAATTTCAAGGAAAGATCTAGAATAGAGGTTTTCAACTGGGGACAGTTTTGCCCCTGATGGGATGTTTGTAATGTCTGTGGACAGTTTTTGTTGTCACAGTTGGGGGGCGAACCATGGGTATCTATCTAGTGGTAGCCAGAGACGTTGCTGATGCACAGGACAGCAGCTCCCCAGAAAAAAGTAGTGCCATTGTTGAAAAACTTCATGAAGCCCAAAGACGGAGATGTTTCCTTCTGGATCACTGTCATTGCAGGGCCATACTCCTCAATCTCAGTAATTTGTATTAAAGTAGAGACTGTATTAATGCTGTGTAAACTAAAATTTAAGGCAGATTTTTTTGGAGGAAGAAGTACAGAAAGAAATTCAAATTAACAACAACAACAAAAAATTTGCTTTAGGGTTGGGGATTTAGCTCAGCGGTTCCACCACCTGCCTTGCAAGTGCAAGGACCCAAGTTTGATCCCCAATACCGAAAAAAAAAAAAGCTGTGATAGCCTTTCCCCAGCCCCTGTACTGGGGATTGAACCCAGAATCTTCAAAACTAAGGTGCATCCTCAGCTATTTATTTATTTGGTAACAGTGATCAAACTTGGGACCTTGTGCTTGCAAGGCAGGCAGTGGAACCACTGAGCTAAATCCCTGGCCCTTTATTTTTATTTTATTTTGAGATAAGTTCTAACTAAATTGCTACATTGCCCCAGCTAAGTTCAAACTTGTTATCCTGCCTTAGCCTGGGACTTCAGGTGTGCACAACCATACCTGGCCAGCTTACCTTTTTTTTTTTTTTCTCAGTACCAACGATCGAACTCAGGACCTTGTGCTTGAGAGGCTGATGTGGTGTCACTGAGCTAAATCCATAGCCCACAAGATTACTTTGGTACCGGGGATCGAACTCAGGTCCTTATGCTTTTGAGGCAGGCGGCAGAACCACTGAGCTAAATTCCCGGCCCCACAAGATTACTTCTTAAAGATTGGACCCTAAACTTTTCAGGGGCCTATGAATATGGCAGCTGTTTAATTTTTAAAATGCAGAGTCTGTACAATAATAAAAACAAGCTTCTCAGGGAAATCACGTCTATCGCTGTTAAAAGAACAGAGTAGGTGCTCACTGCAGCCCACTATTTAATTACAGTTTCCTGTGCACCTGTTTATAGTCTACACAGCTGCAAGCTCCATGAAGGATTTATCCTAAAATAAAAATATGTCACTAAATTGATGACATAACAAAGTATCTTTGGGAAAAAGCAAAGTGAGAAAGGAGGGGGAGTAATATGCAGAGTGAGGACAGGCATCTCTATAGGATTTAATTCAGGTTTAATTAAATAGCTTTTTAGGACTGGAGATGAGGCTCAGTAGTACCGTACCTGCCTGGCAAGTGCAAGGTCCTGAGTTCAGTCCCTGGTATGGTGGGGGGGGGATAAAAAGATGATTAAGTCACTTTTTTGTTTAATTAATACTTTCATTGTTGGTCTTTATAGGCGTTCACAGTGGCACCCCCACATTTATTTATTTTGAGAGATCAACCTTGTAGGAAACAGAACTTTACTCTCCAGGAGATACATTGTGAAGGTTCTTTGGAAGCTGTGTCAAATAGTATGTTAGTGGAAAAATATTCTAATTGTATTAAAAGATGTCAATTCTGACTGGCTATGACAGGAAGCTGAGGAATCAAAAGTGTGAGGCCTGCCAAGACAACTTAGTGAGCTCTATCTTGGAAAATCAAAAGGACTGGGCATATAGTTCAGTGGTAAAACACTTGCCTAACATATGCAAGGCCCTAGGTTCACTCTTCAGCATCCCCAAAGGAAACAAAGAAACAAAGAATGTGACATCTGAAAGGTACTATGTATACATGGGACAGCTAATTAATAACACAGACAGTATAGGAATCAGACCAGACCTGGAAACAGAAAACTGCCTACTCTTGCACACAGCACAGCAAAGCACTTCTGCAAATTCCCTTGTACAATTCTTTGAGGAGGTTTGGTGAATGTACTTGAAAAAATATTGCAGACATTAATTGAGCCAGACATTATGCCTAAAGAAGGTGGCTGTTGTCCTGAGATAGGTATTTTAAAACATCATTATGTTATTTTAATTTTTTTTTCTGGTACCAGGGATTGAACTCAGGACCTTATGCTTGCCAGGCAGGTACAGTGCTACTGAACCATATCCCCAGCCCTAATTTAAAAAAAAATTTTTACTTAAAAATTTTTTTTATTTGTTTTTTGAGACAGGTCTCATTATGTGGTTCAGGCTGGCCTTGAATTCACTATGTATCTTAGGCTGGCCTTGAACTCATAGCAATCTTACTGCCTCAGCTTCCTGAGTGCTGGGATTACAGGTGTGCACTATCATGCCGAGCTTGTTTTAATTTTTAAAATTATACATTGTCAGGCTGGGCGTGGTGGCACACGTGTGCAATCCCAGCACTCGGGAGGCTGAGGCAGGAGGATCACTGAGTTCGAGACCAGCCTGGGCTACATAGTGAGTTCCAGGTCAGTCTCAACTATACAGTGAGACCCTGTCTCAAAATAAATAAATAGAATAAAAAATAAATAAAATTATACATTGTCAGAAAAAATAGGAAATATTAATTGCTTCTGTGAATCTAAAGAAAAGTGCTTTTTATTTTTAGCAGAGTAAGAGGGAGGTGGTGATAAAAATTGTTTAAAAAATAGGGCTGGGGATTTAGCTCGTGTTCTGCTGCCTGCCTTGCAAGCACAAGGACCCGAATTTGATCCCCGGTACCAAAAAAAAAAATTAAAAAAATTAAAAAATAGGCCTAGGCCAGGGATTTTATCTCAGTGGAACTGTGCCTGCCTTGTAAGCACAAGGTCGTGAGTTTGATATCCAGTATGGAAAAAAAAAGATAGCATAAAATTATTAATCAGCTCTTGGTATATTTTTTCCTTTGGAACTACCCTTGAGTGAGATAGAAGTGAGTTTTGGTTAAAAAAATGCTAATAGTGAGTTGTAAATTGTAGATATTTATTACAATAAAAATAATAAAAGTGCAGTACAGCGCTATCTTGTGAAATTTACAGAAAGGACAGCTGTCTGTCTACAATGACTGAATTGAGTGATTGTGATTGTTAGTACATTATTATTTCTGATAGATAATGTTTTCTTTGTGTGTGTGTGTGCACACACCTGCACGTGTGTATGTGTAACTAGGGATTTAACACAGGGTTTTTACACTGAGTTATATCCCAAGCCCATTTTTTATTTATTTATTTATTTATTTATTTATTTATTTATTTATTTAGATACTGGGGATCGAACTTGGGACCTTGCACTTGCGAGGCAGGCGGTGGAACCACTGAGCTAAATCCCTGGCCCCCAGCCCTTTATTTTTATTTCACAGTGTTTTATTTTTGAGTCAGGTTCTTTTTTTTTTTTTTAAATAAATTTTTTTTTTTTTTGTTCCATGGCCCTTTTGAGTCAGGCTTTGCAAAGTTGCTACATTACCCTCGCTGGGCTCAGACTTATAATCTTCCTGCCTAAGCCTCCCAGTATGCTGAAATTATGGGCATGTGCCACCATGCCCAGCTCTGAATTTCTGTATTGATACTAAGATGCTTTGCAAGTTGAAGAAGTAAAGAATTTGGGGCTATAGTTGTGGCTCAGTGGTGAAGTGCTATTAGAATGGCCAGAATTTTGAACCTTGACACCACCAAATGCTGACGAAGCTTGTAGAGCAGCATCAATGCTCACTCAGTGCTGATGAGAATGCAAAATTTTACATCCTCTTTGGAAGACAATTCGGAAGTTTCTTACCAAACTAAACATAGTCTTATGTATTACCCAGCAATTTTACTCTTTTCTATTTACTCAAATGAGTTGAAAACTTAGCTACACAATACACCTGTACACAGATGTTTATAGTATTTTTTTTTCATAATTGCCAAAACTTGAAGTCTTTCTAAATACATCTTTGTACTGAATGTTTTTGTATTTGGCCCTTAGCTTTAATATTGCAGTAAAAGTTTGCATTTTATATTTTCTTCTTTCAGCGGCTGTGTGACTATGTGTGTGATCTTCTCTTGGAGGAATCCAACGTTCAGCCAGTGTCAACCCCAGTGACAGTGTGTGGGGACATACATGGACAGGTAACATTTCATAAAGGAGTCACAGATTCTGTACTGTCCACAGGTTTTGTTTCTAATTGTGCTGCAAAATTAAAACAATGATAGCAGATAAATCTACCTAGTGGTTAAGTTGCCTGAGTCTTTGTAATATTAATGATTCCTGGCTTACTATTCTAGTGAATGAAATGAGTAGTCAGATTATTCATGGAGTTTTTTGAAATGACACTTGTGAAGTGAATAGAATGTTGTTATTATTTTATGGAATGGTGAGGGTGTTTGATAGTGGTGGAAGATATATAAACATGTACTTACAGTAATTCTAATTAGTGGGATATATTTGGTTTTTTAAATAGAAGATTTACTTTATTTTAATGTGGTGGTAAGGGGGAAGAGAGAGACAGATGGCAGACAGCTATTGAGTATTATAATGAAAGTGAAATATTCATGGCTTTTTTTTCTTTTTTGGTACCAGGGATTGAACTCAGTTCTTGCGCTTGTGAGGCAGGCGCTGGAACCACTGAGCTAAACCCGCAGCACTCATGGCTTTCTTTTCTGCAATTCCTTTTATTGAGATCTTTGTTCCATGAAGGCTCCTGGAATGTGATTGGCTCCCTGGCTTGTTATATTTGGTTTTAGACATTTTTATTCTGTTCATTTCTATATATTTTATTCATGTCATATATTGTTGAAATTTTATTTCTTCTGGGAGAAAAAGAATAGCAAAGACTCAAAAGAAGTAAAATTGTCCATGGTTTCATAGCAGTCACTGACATAATAAGATGAAAGAATTAGCTCATATTTTCATCTGCTGGGTTTTTGTTTATAAGAATTTTGTATGGTGATACACACCTGTAATCGCTTGGGAGGCTGAGGCAGGAGGGTTGCCTTGAGTTCTTGGGCCAACCTGGGCTACATAGTGAGTTAAGGCTGGCCTGAACTACATAGTGAGCCTCTGTCTCAAAAAACCAAGAAAAAAAAATTTCCAAGCAGTGATAGGAGGAGTGCACCTTATCATTAGACTACTCTCAGTGTTTATTTAGTTGGGAACCTTATGTGTATTTGTAGATTTTTTTCACTAGGAATAAAAGCTAAGGAGATCATTCATAGTCTACTCCATGCATATAATGTAGTTGGGGTTATAACACAATAATATACTCTGAGGAATACCAGTGGGCTTACTGTCTTTGTAATTTTTCTCCCTTAAATATGACTATGTAACAGAGAAATATACCTACATTGGCCATGATTAGAGACTACACCATCAATAAAGTCCTATTTTGGCTACATAACAGTGCCTTTTGTCTGCTCACCCCCTTTCCTGGATAGTGAGATTATGGTCCGACATCTGCATGTCATCATCTGCTTCTAAGTAGAGGCCTCATTATGTCATCTTTTAACTGTTAATATTAAAGTTCTCTCTCTTTAAATGTACATAGCACTTCTCTCCAAAATTGTAATAAACATTTGTATTTTGCTAACATAAAAGTTAGTTACATGAGTAGTGTTTTCCCTGCTTATAAAATTAAAATTCAGGAGCTAACTTTTGTTATTAAGGACTTTGCAGTATGTGAATTACAGTCATAATTAAATACAGGAAGTCAGAGACAACGTCAAACATTTCTTTTTTCTTTTTTTTTGAGACAGGGTTTCACTATGTAGTTGAGACTGACCTAGAACTCACTATGTAGCCCAGGCTGGTCTCAAACTTGCAGCGATCCTCCTGCCTCAGCCTCCCAAGTGCTGGGATTACAGGCGTGCGCCACCACACCTGGCTAACCTCAAATATTTCTGTATTATATATCTTCAACCCGGTGTACAAGACTTGCTATTTATTTTGTGTCTTAAGGTCAACAACGTACTTTTTCACATATTCCATGTCGGATTGTTTCGAGAGTCCTATAGGATAAAATGATTTTATAAAGAATGAAAGAGACTAACAAACTGAAGAATTAGCCCAAACTTGCATAGCCACTAAGGCACAGAACTGAGATTTGAAATACATTTGGGTTCCTTTTGCACATGTTAATTTAAAACTACTACCCAACTGTGAGCATTGTTTCTCTTATACTTGACCCTTAAAAATCATTATTAATCAGAATCATGGAACTGATTATATCAAATCTAAGAGCTGTCTTTTTCAATTTGCACAGTTCCTTCCCCTTGGGCAGTTCTGGAGTTGCAGGATTGAGTTTTGAGTGTGAATTGACCTGTTGGCAAGTAGGGTTGCCGAGGAGCATGGAAACAGTGTTATCTGGGGGGAGGGGATTACGTATAACCTTCAGCCATCACACAAATGCAGCCTATAGACCCTCAGGTGGTACAAAAGAGTTGGAGGGTAAGACTGTTGGTGCTTCTTTTGACTGTTCTTTCCAGACACATTGTATGATGGAATGAGAAGTACTGTGTACATAGCGCATGTTTGTTGGACCTGAGGAAAGATGGTTTATTCAAGGGAAAGTATTTGTGTACCATTTTAAGTCCTAAGCTATAGTAGTTGCTTATTTATTTTTAGCACTTATTTTTCTAATTCAGAATTGCAAGAACATTTATGCATATGTTATGCTGAGTACATATGTGAGAATTTCCTGTACTTACCTACCTAGGCCATTAAGTTTGGTCACCTTCACTTGTACTATATATTGCCATATGGCTTTCCAAAGCTGTAGTAGTTGATATTCCCACCAGAAATGTATGAGAATTCGTAATACTCTTCATCTCACTGCAGTGATATCATCATACTGATAAAATGTCATCAGGACAGGGCTATGAAGTAGCCTCTTGTTTTAAAATATAATTTGCATTTTCTTGACTACTAATGAGGCTATTTATTAGTTCTGTGTTCCCACATCTGTGAATTGTCCTGTATAATCTTGTCCTGATTTTCTTTGGTTGATCTTTTACTTATAATCTATAGATTGATTGATTTGATTTAGAGGCTGTGTCTCACTATGTAGTTCAGGCTGGCCTTGAACTACGGTGTAGCCCAGGCTGGCCTCACACTTGAGGTGATCCTCCTCCCTCAGCCTCTTGAGTTCTGGGATTACAGGTGTGAGCCACCACTCCCAGCCATACACATTTTTTAATATGAACCCTCCATGTGGTATCCAGTCATACTTTGGTACTACTATGATACTTCTGAATTTGGCACTCAATGCCTTGTGAGTTGATTTTATCCTTGTATGTAATTGTTTAGTAACCAAAGCGCAAGATAGAACTTGTCCCTGTTAGTTGCCTTTTGGTGCAACCCTTTCCAGCCTTTTTATTAAGCATTATTTTTACTGGAGAGAATGAATGACAAACTGTTGTTATTCACACTCAGCTATTTGGCAACCATTTTTACAAAAGTGTAGAAAATAGGATAGTTATTTCAAAGAAAACATATTTATTGCAAATGATAATATTTGAATTTATTAATGAAAAAATTATAATTTAAAAAATTTGAGTCCACTACCATGTGACAGTTTGTGATACTTTGAAAGACTTTTTTTGGGGTAGTGGGGATTGAACTCAGGACCTTGCACTTGTGACACAGGTGCAGTGCCCACTGAGTTAAATCCCCAGCCCTTGAAACACTTTCTGACAAGGTGATGGTGATATTAATCGATAAGGGTTTTTCACTATACCTAAGGAAATGTCATTTCCATTTTCCAAATGACCAGCCTATCATTCACTTGAGGTATAAGAGATGCTGGTGATTTTTTATTTTTGAATACAGGGACTCTCTATGTAGTTCAGGCTGGCCTTGAAATCACTGTGTAGCCGAGACTGGCCTTGAAATTGCGACAATTCTCCTGCCTGAAACTCCTGAATTAATGGTATTTACAGGCATGCGTCACCACTGATTTGGTGTTTTGAGACAAAGGCTCACCGTGTACTATGGCCCAGTCTGGAACTATGTATATAGCCCAGGCTGTCCTTGGACTAGAAATCCTCTTGTCTTAGCATCCAGAGTGCTGAGATTATAGGCATGCACCTCTATGCTCAGTTTCATACTCACTTGTTTTATGTTGTAAAATTGTATAGTTGTATTATAGTTTTGTGTACTTTACAATTTATATACTCACTTGTTTTATGTTGTAAAATTGTATAGTTGTATTATAGTTTTGTGTACTTTACAATTTATTTTTTATTTTGCTGCATAGTTTTCATTGTAATCATTATTCATGACTACATAAAGCCCTTGAGTTGACAGATCATGTTTATTTTATTGTAAATGATGTT